ACATACCTCATGATAGCATTCCATGCATTCCAATGGTGCTAGGTGAAGCACCTCAACAAAGGCGCGGCTGCTCGCGTGCGCCCGCCGTCTTGACCTTGGCGCCCGGAGGTGGAGGAATCAGAGCCGCAAGCAGACAAGACATGCCAATGGGGTTGCGGAGGATAAGGAATGCCTAGACAGCAGATTGGTCTACTATGAAGCCCTGAATTAGCCCTTCATCAGGATTGTAGGCGATACTGTTTAGTTTACTGACTATGAACTGTTTACGCCGATTTACGGGGGTGGTTGTAAATAATCATAATCATAAACAGTTGTTACTGTTTATGAACAGTAAATAAACTCAATAGTTGGAGAGGCCTGCCGCCGAAGAAGAGCCTGTCGCGGACCTGGTCTATGTAGCATTACTACTGCAAATGCTAGAGAGGCAGTGGGGCCATTCGAGGGTCCAGTGCGTTCAAGGGTTCCTGAAGCAGAGGGCCCGGGGTGTTGATATCTTTTGGGTGGAAGAGCTCTTGTAGAAAACCGTGGTTTGTTGAAATTTGTCAGCGAGCTTCGCGAGGACTACAAACGATAACGCTGCGAATATCTGTCACAATGGCTCCTCAGCAATAGTCAGGCTTTCTATGAGCCATTTTAATATGACATGCGTGTTGCGAGACAGCCCGAGCCGAGATATACTCCAACGGCGAACTGTGTGATGGGGGGAGGTGGGAGACGATGTACTTCACCTCATCGAGTATGGCGTGTCTTGACAGCGTTTTGGCTGTTTGCGGTCAGCCTCTGAGAGACTAGCGTATCTGAAGGACAGCGGACGACACCTTGACGCGCTTGTGGAGGCTCTCATGTTGTTTGCGTGAGTTAAAAGACCAAGTACAGTCAATTGACTTGCCTGTTCGGACGGAAGCACTTGTTCGTAGGCTCGACAGACGGGACACGGTATCTTATGGGCCGTCTGAAATGCCCATAAACTGTGCCAAGGGCACTCAGCATGTACATCACCGACGCCTGACTGCAGGTCTTCAAGAATGAGACAGCATGCTCGTTCAGCGTCGACGAACGGCTTCCGGAGGATGAAGGGCCAGTTGCCGAAGCTGCAAGGGCGTCCCATCCTTGAAAAGCTTGACAGGTAGCGGTGAGTCAACGTCGACAAGGACGAAATCCAAACACAGCGGCCACAGACACGAGGACCATGTCACAGCGCGGGGATGCACATCCGGACACGAAAGCGGCGACGGTGACCTTTTTATACCCTCTACACTCCCGTCTCTGCTACCCTTCAGTCATAGTGATGGCCCCTCCGAGGCTCGAAAAAAGTGCCCGGTGATGGCTCCAGTGAGGCTCAACAAGCGTGACCGGTTGCGAGCTGACGTAACGAGCTGCTCTATCCCGGAAAGGGAGTACAGCGGCTGGACTTCTCGCTGCCATCCTCTTGCCTTGACTCGTATCCTCCGCACCCCTCTTTCTTCCAAACGCTCTCCAAGCACTTTCCGTGGCCCAATATCCTCTCTCTTCCTTATAATTTCCTATCTCCCCTCATTGCCAACTGGTTTGGCTCGTACGACACGGTGAGATGCATTCAGACGCCTTCGATGTCATACCCTACGAGGTCAGCGAGAGTTCTTACGTACACGCCCTCTCAATTGACGTCGGACTTGTAGGATATCAAAGGTAACTGGAAGAAGCTAGGGTCAGGCTCGTTTGGAAACGTGTACAAAGGTGCGGAGATGTATCCCGGTGGGGACAGGATCGATTTGACCTGTCGCGTTAGGATCCTACCTTGGTATAGACGTGGCCATCAAGGAGGTGCTTCCCTCCACAGAGTACGACGTAGCAAAATATTTTGAGAGGGAATGGAGACTGATGAAGTGCGTATCGTGTGGCTGGATATTGTTCATCTCTCATCCCCGTGTTCAGGGAAGCGCGGCACCCGAACGTCGTGCTCTACCTCGGACTCTCGAGGGCTCCTGACCCCGATGGTCGCATTTTTATTATTTCCGAATTCATTGAAAACGGCAACCTTCGCAACTACATCTACGACAAAACGAAGCCCCTGCCGTGGAGGCTCAGGCTGTCCTTCGCTACGGATATTGCGCGCGCTCTGGCCTACCTTCACGCTCGTAAATGTATACACAGAGATCTCAAGGGGGAAAATCTTCTCGTCACCGCGAATGGCCGTCTCAAGATCACAGACTTCGGGTTCGCGCGTATAGCAGCACGCAACGAAGAGGAGAGCAAGCGACTCACCTTTTGCGGCACAGACTCGTACATGTCACCAGAGATCCTCCTCGGCAATGAATTCGATCTTCCTACGGATATCTTCTCCCTGGGTGTCATTTTCTGCGAAATCGCCGCGCGAAAGCTTGCCTCAGAGCACACCTTCAAAAGGAGCCCGCCACTCTTCAGCATCGACCCAGAAGAGGTGCGGAGGCTAGCGAGCCCAGGCTGCCCTTCTGGTTTCGTTCAGCTCGCCTTAGATTGCCTTGCGGAGGACCCACGCGACCGCCCTACTACACGCATCATCTTAGACCGTCTCCGCGATATTGAAGCAGAGGTCCTTGCTCGCCCCACCGAAGCGGACGACCATGTCGGTAGTGTTAAATTCATGACGGGCATGAGGCGTCCTGGGGCGGCTCCCCGTATCCCAAGCTTTGGCGCGGGTGTGGGCAAGGAGCTGAAATACTCGGAGCCGGGACCCGCCAAGAACGGAGACCACCACTCGAGCGATGAAGAAGACAGCGATGGCGAACTTATGGAAGCTCTCTCTCGGCTGAGCACGGCAGGGTTGCACAGTACTTGGAGCGAGGCTGCTGTTGGTAAGCATCACAGTCGAGTTCTATTCCTTCTTATCGTCGTCGCACCTCCCGGCACACCGTGCTCTTCTAATACTGACGCTGCATACTCTATATAGACCACGCTCATGACAGTGATCAACCCTTGCTCGGAAGTACGCCTTCCGTGCACTCGGACTACAGCACGACCGTCATTCGTTCGCACCCGATATCCCACACTCCAGAGGCGTCTTCTCTATCCTCGATCCTCACCATACGACCCACGCAGAACCCCAACGGATCTGACGACCTCACTGCCCATCCCCTCGCGACAGGCATCAACGGCCTGACTCCCACTGAGTCACTCATGACAATAGCCTCTTTTCATACCGCCGGCTCCTTCTCAACCTTGTCCGCGACAGGCGCACTCGACTCCGAGTCCGAAATCTCCATCGCTGCTGCTACAGAGGGCTCGACCACCCCACAGCACGCGAGTGTTGTTGTCCCACTCGTCCACCGTTTTACGCTCATCAAACCGGGCGGACGCCGCATGAGCATGCCGAACGGTGACCCCAAGGAGCCCAGGAGCGGCACGGCGTCGCCGACGAAGAATTGGCCTCCTCACGGCGGGGAGGCCACGGCTTGGAATCCGCTCGATTTTTTCTTCAGCAGCACCTTGCTGGGAAACAAGTGTGATATCTGCATGAAACGCCTCGGCTGGAAGCCTGTCTTGGAGTGCGATGATTGCGGTTTGAGGTTTGTCTTCTGCGTGCATGGGTGCAGCGTGAACTCATCAGCTGAGTCTTCAGAACACATATCAAATGCGGCGAGGTGGCACCTATGGACTGTGGGCTTCGTCCCGCCCGCGCAGGCGGATTCCACGACGGCCGTGACCGCTCAGCGTCTCCTCTCGCCAAAGAGAAGGACAAGGCGAAAAACCGCAAGAGCTTTGGTACCCCAGCCAGATAACGACTTTTACGACCTGTTACGACCCTTGCATGACTTTACCTAAGAAACGATCTGCATTTTATCGTTTCATGTTTCCAGCACATCACACAAGATTGCATGCATACATACGAGTATACCAGTTTAAACCGTGTTCAATGGCCTTTGTTGTAGTGATAGGGCGCGGATGATCATTTCTCTGTACCTTTGGGACGTTTTCGGGACATATGGACTGCGTCTTCCTTGTAATTGAGAGGGGTGATCGCTCAAATTCTTCCGCCCTTAATCCAGCATCATGAGGCTGAGGTTCGAGCCGACATCTAAGTATGTCCTGGCTTCAAGCTTCAAGTCTGAGGGAAACCTACATATTGAGGTGTATATTATTCAGATGAAAGACTATGGCGATGGTTCTTCGACTCATCAACGAAGTCAAGGAGAAGTGACTGACATGCCGCGGCTCGCTGCAGCCGCTGAGTCCCAATTAGGCAACCGGAGCTGCAGTTGACCCAGGACCCAACCGCCACCACAACGAATTCTACGACCACGAGAGGAATGGATGCTGGGGCGAAGAAACTACTGGAGACTGCGACCATCGAAACATTACACGCCCATCACTTCTCTCGGGCATCCACTCAGGCGACAAATGTCCTCACCGACCTCCTCTCGCGATATCTCACCGTCCTCTCCAGCACATGCGCCAAGTACGCTGAACATGCTGGGAGGCTACGACTGACAGCTAGAGATGCTGCTGATGCGCTAGACGAGTTGGGCGTGGATGTGGAGGAGTTAAGTGAGTACTGCGCGACGGAAGGAAGGGAGATGGCGCGGTACACGGTGCATACGGGGAGGAGGCTGGAGGACCTCAATGAGTTCAAGGGTCAGTTGGCTCGTGCTGTGATTTCTTCTGTGCCAATGACAAGTGACTACAGCTGCCTTGGCGGTTGGTCTGCGCGAGGATGACGACGATGCCATTCCCCTGGAATATGGACCTGTTCCGGACCACTTGACCTCGGAAGAAGAGGTGTCCGACGAAGAAGGCGATAGTGAAGAAGAAGCAGCTACGCACTCAGAG